TGTTGAATTTCATGGCTTCTTTTCTTTTCTTTTTTTTTTTTGAGATGGAGTTTCGCTCTTGTTACCCAGACTGGAGTGCAATGGCACGATCTTGGCTCACTGCAACCTCCGCCTCCTGGGTTCAAGCAATTCTCCTGCCTCAGCCTCCCGAGTAGCTGGGAGTACAGGCACGCACCACCGTGCCCAGCTAATTTGGCTTCTTTTCAATAAACCAGTTTGTTACTGGATTCACTGCGAGCAGCACAGCTTCAAATGATGCTTCTATACTTTTGGAGTCTTCTTGACTTTTGGCAACAAAATTAGTCAGCTTTGTACTGGAAAAAATTGCTTTGCTCTTGTTTAGGAAAAACACAAATACATTACCCAAAATTGAATCTCAATAGACAGATAGATAGATATGGATATGATACAGAGGCAGCGCAGCTGCTGTGAAAAACGTCCACCACCAGCGGAACGAAGAAGCACAGTGACGGAGTCCTACAGGTGTCGTGATCCCAGAGAAATTACGAGAATAGGCCGGGCGCGGTGGCTCACGCCTGTCATCCCAGCACTTTGGGAGGCCGAGGTGGGTGGATCACGAGGTCAAGAGATCGAGACCATCTCGGTCAACATGGTGAAACCCCGTCTCTACTAAAAATACAAAAAAATTAGCTGGGCACGGTGGCGCGTGCCTGTAATCCCAGCTACTCGGGAGGCTGAGGCAGGAGAATTGCCTGAACCCAGGAGGCGGAGGCTGCGGTGAGCCGAGATGGCGCCATTGCACTCCAGCCTGGGTAACAAGAGCGAAACTCCAGCTCAAAAAAAAAAAAAAAAAAAATAGAGATGGGGTTTCACCATATTGGTCAGACTGGTCTGGATCTCCTGACCTCAGGTGATCCACCCGCCTCGGCCTCCCCAGGTGCGGGGATGACAGGCGCGAGCCCCGCGCCGGGCCGGGACTGCAGGTTCTAAAAAGCTCTCCGATTCGCCAGCTCCCCAACTCGTTCCTCGACGGGCTACTTTGCTCATCACGGCGGCAAAAGTGCAGAAAGTTCCAGAACCACGCCGCCCGGGCTCCAATTCTGGCTGTGTCACTGACGCTCTGGGTGGTCCGTGGCCCCGGGCCTCAGTTTCCCCGTCTGCCACGCGGGGTGTGAACGGCGAGCAGGTCACACGGAACCACGTGACCCCCGCGCAGGTGTGGCGTCAGGAACTCGCGTCGTTCTCCGCCACGGCCAAGGCCGAGCCCAGCGTCCAGCGGAGACCGCCGGGAGGACACGCTCGGCTGCGCGCCCGCGCCCGCGCCCCTACTACGCGCCCGGACCGCTCTCCGCCCCCTCCAGGCTCCGCCCCCACCCCGCCCTCCCGGGCGCCGTAGCCAATGAGCGCGCGGGCCCGCATCCGGGGATCCCGGAGCGGCCGCCGCCTCCCGCGCACACACGGCCATGGCGGAGGTGAGTGAGCGGGCCGGGGGAGCCGGCCCCCCGCCCCCGCGCGCCCGCGTCCCCCGCCGACGTGTCCGGGCCTTGCCGTGGGCCCCGGGGGTGGAGAGCACCGCTCTGGAGCTCTGTGGCCGGTCGGGACGCCGGGGCCGTCCGGGGCCGGAGGGGCGCGGGGCTCCTTCGGCGGCCGCCCCCGGCCCGGCCCCCCCCCCCTTCGGCTGCCACATCGCGGGCTGCAGTGCGCATGCGCGGCGGGGCGGGCGGGGGCCCGGGTGGGGGAGGGGAGGGACGCGGGGCGGGGTCGGGGTCGGGGGTCCGGTGGGCGCGCGGACCCACTCTGGCGTCCGGCTCCCGTTGCCTGCCCGGCCCCGCGGCGCGGAGGCCTCCGTTTCCTGCGCGTTTGCCAACTTTGCTGAGTGCTGGGGCCGCCAGGCGTCCCGCGCTCCCCGTGGGGATCCCGGTGGACCCACCGCGCTTCCGCCGCCGCGAGTCCCCCTTGGTGGGGCCAGGTCAGACCCCGGGCGGGATTTGAACTCCCGACGCGGACCCGCCTGGCGTAGACCGGGCGCAGGGGGTGGGTGGGTGGGTCTGCCGGGGCCTAGAGAGCGTCGGGGCTGATCTCCGCGGAGTTGGACCAGCCTCGCCCGGGCGCGAAGTTACTTCTGGAGCCTCCTCCCTCGTCCAGGAAACAAGCCCCGGACCCTTCGCCCGCAATCTTCGGGGCCAGCCATGTGTTGGAATCCGGAATTTTTGCGATTTGAGGATCGGTGGGGTTTTGGACTGTGATGTTGGATCAGACCCCCCCCAGGACGGTCTAGGATCAGACAGCTTCGCGGCGGGCCCGACCACAATGAAGACACTTTGGCCTTTGGAGCTTTTTTTTTTTTTTTTTTTTTTTAATCCCGGAGTGGTGGATGAGCCTGTGCGGACCTGCCTGCACCTTCCAGGGTCCCCGTGAAGACGGGATGAGATGATGTGGGCGAAGGTACTGCGGCCGCGAGGTCCTCAGTAAATGGGGTTCAATCCCTGACTGCTCTGTGCCCACAAGTTACGACAGGCAGGCAGATTTAGGAACCGGTCCTGGTCCTCATCTCTGGGCCGCAGGGCCCAGAGGAGGAGGTGCCCACCCAGCCAGGCACAGCCACCTCTTGGGAAGCCGGGATGGGAAATGCGGCCTGGCCTGTTTATGTCTTGGCAGCACGCAAGTGGGCATCGTGGAAAGCAGGACTGGCCGTTTTCTGCCCCTGGTGACCTCCTCAAGGGGCGGTAACAGGCCGTGTTTGTGCCAGAGACGGTGTAGGTGTGTCGATGCCAGGCCAGGCCTCACCAGCCAGTTCTTTCATGGAGAGCTAGTTCTCCTTGAGATATTTACGGGGGCTGAGTCCCCGCTCGCGTGGTGGCCGGCCTCCAGGGTCAGAGGCAGAAACTCTGTCTCCCAGGGGCCCTTCAGAGACGTGGTGGCCTAGTGAGTGTGTGCTCCTGGCGTCTCTCCTGGTAGTGAGGGGGCTTTCGGGCAGCACACGGCCTCACAGGTAGCTGTGCGTGTGGGACGGCGCAAGTCAGACTCCCAAGCCAGCCTCCCCCAGAGCTGCGTGTGGCCGTCGGTTCTGCCCTGCCTTGGCTGAGCTCCTCCTCAAGTCCGCACAGTGGTTTGTTGTCTGGGTGCTCCTGGGAACCCTGTTTTACAGTTTGGGGTGGTGCCCTGTTGAGCGAATTTGATCTTATTTATGTTTTGAGATGTGGCCTCACTTTGTCACCCAGGCTGAAGTGCAGTGAGTGGTTTAATCTCAGCTCACCGCAACCTCCGCCTCCTGGCTTCAAGCAGTTCTCTGCCTCAGCCTCCTGAGTAGCTGGGATTACAGGCGCCCGCCACCACACCTGGCTAATTTTTGTATTTTTAGTAGAGATGGGGTTTCACCACGTTGGCCAGGCTAGTCTTGAACTCCTGAGCTCGTGATCCACCCGCCTCGGTCTCCCAAAGTGCTGCGATTACCAGCGTGAGCTACCGCGCCAGCTACCGTGCCAGCTTGATTTGATTTTCTAAGGAGGTCTCGCTCTGTCCTGGGCCCTGAGGATCCGGGAGTGAATGGAGCAGACAGAGCCTGTCCTACAGTGATGCAGAGTATGGTCAGAGAGAGACGTGATGGGTTGGGACCAGCAGGCATGAAGGCGCTGAGTGCGGGGAGCCATGGCGGCCCCTTCGACCACCGGGCATGTTCTGCGTGGGCCTGGGCGGGTCGCCGGACTGCTCAGAACTTCCTCGTCCTCATCTCTGAAATGGGAAGCCCACGGTCGACCTTCAGAGCTCGGAGGTCTGATGAGGTCCTGCTATAGTGGCTCATGCTTGGAAGTTGAGGCTGGTGGAGTTGACAGCACACCACTGTTTTGAACCCATGAGAATGGCGGTTTGTAAGTCAGTAGCATGTGATCAGTATTAGCTGCTTTATTCTGGTATCATTATCTCGGAATAATCTTAAGTACCACAGTGGCAGGCGGGATCACTGCTGTTCTCAGAGACGCCAGATTAATCTTGTGGAAACCCAAGAGCACCGTGTGTTGCTCCTGCCTAAAGGCCTCTGTGACTTTCCGTGGTCCCTAGGACAAAGTGCTCCTCTTGAGACCCCCAGCCCTGTGGGGTGGTCCCCACTGAGCCGCCCCCGCTCTAGGCCCCTGGGCTTCTTCCGTTTGCTAGTGCACTCTGCCCCTTGGGGGGAGTGCTAGTGAGTGGTTCCACCTCTCCTCAGGCCCCCTGGCCTTCTCTGACCCCCCACTTGCGAAGCCCCTGCACCCTGTTTTCTCCTCTCGGTCCCATAGGCGTCCACCTGTTTATCTATGTCCAAAGCTGCTAGCTCCGTGTGGGTGGAGGCAGGTGGAACTTGTTTCTCGGGTTAGTGGAGTGGGTGCTCTGGGAGCGTTGGTCAGATGGAGGAGTGGGTGCTGGGCGGTCCAGCAAGGGCCTGGCTCTGTAGTTGGTGTGGGTGGGGAGAAGGTCAAGGATGGCTCTTGGGAGGAGGTTGTCCCAGTCACCGCCGGAGCAGAGCTTGTGGGATGGGAGGTGTGGGTGCAGCCATCTTGGCGAATGAAATCTGCCGCTGTGTGATTTTGGGTTAAGCTTTGGAGGGTGGCCCCTTCTGTTTTCTGGCACATTCTATGGCTTTGGGGGCTGCCGGGGAACTGGAGGCTGCCCTCGTGGAAGGGCTGTCCTGTGCTCCGCACCCAGGCCTTTCGTGCAGTCTTTATGCTGAGGAGCTGGTGGAAGATCCTGGTGGCCACCCTGGTCTGTGGCCTGCTCTCCTCTGGACTGTGTTTCTAGAGTGTCGCTTGTGCTCCCTTCTCTTTTTTGTTACCTGGAATACCCTTGGCCTGCTCCCCATCTTTTTTCTGCATCCTCTTTGACACAACAGAGGCCTTTGGCCTTCCTGGGAGTGAACTCAGAGGGAAACCTCCAGAGTGTTCTTGGTGAGGGAAGTGCGGCCCCTGGGAATCCTCGGGTAGAGTAGACGTGGTCCTGGACGCCGGGCAGGGCAGTGGGAGCGAAGAAGGTCCCTGAAGTCTGTTCCTCGGTAAGTTCAAGGAACTCGGAGTCACCTGGAAGTGAACTTGGGACTCCCAGCCTGCTCACGGCTTCTCTGTTGGTAGCTCTTTCTGCTGTCCCCAGCTGCTTCCCTCTTTGCCCCTCTCTGCCTCAGCTCCCCTGTTAAATGGCGAGTCAGATAAGGGCCAGATCCTCCTCAGACCCCGCAGACCACCTCTCCTGGGGCCAGATGTGATTTCACTCTGTGCAGACCTCCAGCCTGCGGGGCTGTTCTCAGCTCGCCGTCCAGAGTGGGGCCTCATCTGATGTCGTTGCCTGCCCTCCCCTTGCTGGGCTCCTGGTTGCAGGAGTGGAAAGCCAGCCCCTGACTGAGGCGGGAACCATTGCCCAGAGAGCCTCCCCTTGACCCCTACCCAGAGGGTCGTAGAGAGGGCCGAGGGTGACTTCAGAGGTCACTTAGGGTGCTCTCCCTGTGGCGTCACGCTGCGTGTGGCTGTGCAGAGTGGTCGTGGTCTGGCAGCCCCCTGCCGTTTCCTGGAAAGACATGAGGCCATCTCTGCCAGACCCGACCGACCTTAGGGCAGGCGGTGTGAGCTGCTCCTGCAGCTGCCAGGCACTCTGCCTGCCTGTCTGCTCCCGTCCCAATGCCCCTTCCCACCGGGGCCTGCTGTGGCTCTTCCTTCCCTCTGCCACCTCGGAGCTAGACTTTCTGAAGCTGGATGGGGCATGTCACTGTCCGCTTAGAGCTTGAGGTTCTCCTTGGTCTTCACCAGCCTCGTTGCTGCAGTCAGCCCAGGGCCAGTGGCCGCCCCAGCCCCCTTCACGGCTCCGATATACACTGCTGTACACTTGGCCCTTGAACCCCACGGGTTTGAACTGCTTGGGTCACTTACACGCGGATTTCCTTCCACCTCTGCCACCCCGAGACAGCAAGGCCAACCGCCCCCCCCCCCCCACCAGCCTCCTCAGCATGAAGATGACCAGGACGAAGACCTTTAGGGTGATCCCCTTCCACTCACTGAATAATAAATACATTTTCTCTTCTTACGGTTGTCTTCACCTTTTCTGTAGTTGCCTTTCTTGGTAAGAAAACAGTACATCCTGCAACACAGGACATACGTGTGTGCCAACTGTGTATGTTACCGGCAAAGCTTCCAGTCAGCAGGAGGCTGCCAGTGGGGTTTTGGGGAGGCGGAAGTGGATGCATGGGTTTTTACCTGTGTGCTGGGCTGGCACCCACAGCCCCCGCGCCATTCAGGGGTCAGTTGTGCCACCCTTGGTGCCCCCAGGAGTGCTGGGCTGGAAGGGCCTGTGGGCCGCTGGCCTGAGCCTGATGGTGCACTTGCCGTGTGAGCTTGGGTGGCTCACTGTCTCCTTGAGCGTCTTGCCCTGTTTTTCTTAGGCGGGGAATGAGCGCGCCACCTCTGAGGTTTTACTTGAGGACCCGTGAAGAAATCTGTTTTGAAACTCTTACTGAACAGGTGTTTAACCTTCATTAAATGTTTTAATCTCGCTTTTTGGCCGCAGCTTACTGAGGTATAACTCGTTTACTGTGCAGTTCAGGGGGGTTTGTGCATCCGCCGGGTTGTGTGGCCACCATCACAGTCAATTCTAGAACATTTTCATCACCCCAAGAGGAGCCCCACACCCCTTAGTGGTCGCTCCCAAACCCCTTTCAACCAGGAATCTACTTTCGGTGCCTGCGATTTGCCTGCCCCGGACGTTAGAAATAAAATGAGTCACACGATATGTGGCCTTTCATGTCCGGCTGCTTTTGGGAGCGCGGCGCCTTTGAGATCCATCCCCGTGGTGATGTCAGCGCTTCCTTCCTTTGTCCGATCTCGAGTCCCTTGTTTGGTGTTTGTCAGCTGATGGAAATTAGGACCCTAACCTGGGTCGTGAGGTTAAATACCGTTTACCCTTTGGAGGAGTTGCTGCACCGTTTTCCAGAGTGGCTACAGCGTTTTCCATCCCGCCAGCGGCGGGAGAATTCCGATTTGTCCGCATTCCTGTCAGTACTTGTCGCTTTCTGTCTGTCTGAGCGTCGTGGTTCTCCGAGGAGGAAGTGGGGTCCCAGCGTGCATTTTGCCTGCTTTTCCTGATGCTGCACTGCGCCTCTCTTCCTGTGCCATTGCCCATTTGTGCGTCCTCTTGGGAGAAATGTCTGTTCAGATCCTTTGCCCATTTCTCAGTTGGATTGTCTTTCCCTTATCGAGTTGTTTCTGTGTTCTTCTCAAAGTTGTTTATATGTTCTCAGAACAAGCTCCTTACCACACAGATGACTTTTCAGATGTTTTCTCTGATGCTCTGAGTTGTCCTTTTACTTTCTTGATGGCGGCCTTTGAAGCACAGAAGTTTTTAATTTTGGTGAAGTCGTTTGTCCATTTGTTTTTTTGTCACTTCATTTTGGTGTCTGTCTAGGAAACTGTTCAAATCCAAGGTCACAGTTTCTTCCCCCGCCCCCGCATCTGCAGATTCAATCAAAAGCTACAAATATTTATTCCTGTATTTTCTCCTAAAAGTTGTATGGTTTTAGCTCCTCTATCTAAGACCTTTGATCCATTTTGAGGTCATGTTCACATATGGTGTGAGATAGGTCCAGCTCCATTCTGTTGCACGTGGATATTCAGCTGTCCCGGCACCATTTGTTAAAGACTGTTCATTCCTCTGTGGAACTGCACTGACACCTGTTGACTGTGAATGTGTGAGTTTATTTCTGGGTTCTCAGTTGTTTCATTAATCTTTGTGCTGTCCTTATGGCAGCGCCACACTGTTTGGATTGCTGTGGCTTTGTGGTGAGTTTTGAAATCAGGAGGTATTCTGTTTCAAGATTGTTTGGGCTGTTTCGGGTATCGTGAGCTTCCATTATGCTTTTTGGAATCGGCTGGTGGGTTTCTGTGACAAAGCCAGCTGGGGCCCTGATGGGGATCGCGCTGAGCCTGTCTGTGAACCCATCGGTGTGACGCCATCTTGATGCCTTCTCAGCCATGCACACGGGATGCCCTTTCATGCACCGGGATCTTTCCTCCAACATACTTGGTCCGCTCAGGGGCTGTACCCCTTTCATACTTCTCTGGGTGCTATTGTAGACGGAACTGCTCTTTTAACTTTCTTGTAGTGTTGTTCGTTGCTTTTACGTAGAAACAGGATGGATTTTTATGTGTGGATTTTGTCTACGCAGCCTTGCTGACCTCACTTTAGTTTGAATCGCCTTTTACATCATGTCACCAGCACCAGCACAGATAGTTTTACTTGTTTCTTAACAGTCTTTCTTTTCTTGTCAGAGTCGTGCTCTGTCACCAGGCTGGAGTGCAGCGTCACGATCTTGGCTCATTCCAGCCTTTGCCTCTTGGGTTCAAGCGATTCTCCTGCCTCAGCCTCCCGAGTAGCCGGGACTACAGGCACGCGCCACCACACCCAGCTAATTTTTTGTATTTTTAGTAGAGACGGGGTTTCACCATGTGGACCAGGATGGTCTCGATCTCTTGACCTTGTGATCCGCCCACCTCGGCCTCCCAGGGTGCTAGGATTACAGGCGTGAGCCACCGTTTCTGGCCTTTTTTTTTTTTTTTTTTCCTGAACTGGAGTCTTGCTCTGTTGCCCAGGCTGGAGTACAGTGGCACAGACTTGGCTTACTACAACATCTGTCTCCCTGGTTCAAGCAATTCTCCTGCCTCGGCCTCCTGAATACCTGAGATTACCAGGCACATGCCACAATGCCCAGCTAATTTTTTGGTATTTTTAATAGAGACAGGGTTTCACCATGTTGGTCAGGCTGGTCTTGAACTCCTGACCTCAGGTGATCCACCTGCCTTGGCCTCCCAAAGGGCTAGGCTTCCTTACCAATCTTGGTTCTTTTTATTTCATGTTCTTGCACCGACTGCACCCTGCAGCTCTCCGTGGCGCATGAGAGGTGAGAGTACACGTCGTTCTACACGCGGTGGCTTAGATGGTGCATCCAGCCTTTCACTGTTGAGGGCTGTGCTGAGTATGGTTTTCCCTAGATGCTCTTGGTCACGTTGAGGCGTTCTCTTCTGTTCTGAGGTTGTTGGGTATTTTTTCATTATGAAAGGGTGTTGGATTTTGTTGAATTGGACGTGTTGAGATGATCCTGTGTTTTGGTTTTTTTATTTTATTGATGTGGTGTGTTATAGTAATTGAGTTTTGCTGTTGAATCAACCTTGCATCCCTGCGATAAATCTTACTTGTTCGTGGCCTATGATCGTCTTTATACGTTGCTGGATTCAGTTGCCAGTATTTTGTTGAGGGTTTTGTGTTCATGTACATGGGCGATGTTGTGGGTTACTGCGGTGGTTCATGCAGCACTTTGGGAGGCCGAGGCGGGTGGATCACTTGAGGTCAACAGTTTGAGACCAGCCTGGGACAACTTGGTAAAACCCCGTCTCTACTGAAAATACAGAAATTACCCAGGCGTGGTGGTGCGCACCTGTAGTCCTAGCTACTTGGGAGGCTGAGGCAGGAGAATCACTTGAACCTGGGAGGCAGAGGTTGCAGTGAGCCGAGATTGTGCCACTGCTCTCCAGCCTGGGTGACAGAACAAGGCTCTGTCTCATAAAGAAAAAGAGAGAGAGAGATTGAACATTGTAATAATGGTCACTTATGGTTTTGTTGTCCCTTTTATAAAAAAATTGAGGTAATTTATGAAACATAAAATACACCTACTTTAAAGTTTATAATTCATTGATTTTTAGTGTGTCCACAGTCACGCAGCTTTTGACTCCAAGTCATTCTGTCATCCCCATTAGCAGTCACTCTCCCGCCATCCCTCTCCCTGGCTCTTGGCCCCCACGAGCCCCTTTCTGTCTGTGGATTGGTCTGTTCTGACCGTTCTGTATCAGTGGACCCCCTGCCGTGGCCGTTGGTGTCTGGCTTCCTGCGCAGCGCATGCTGTTCTTGAGCTTCGTCCGGTCGCAGCATGGGTCAGGACAGAGCCTGTTTGTGGGCGGTTTTCAGTGTCACAGGATGCATGTCCTGCCTGGGGCGAGATGGCCTTCACCCTGCAAGCGATCCTGGGTGGGAGGCGGCACCGGTGACGGCCCGCGTGTGTGCTGCGCCCAGTGCCCTCCAGCCCTCAGAGGCGGAGACAAAGCGCCTTCCCTGCTCACCGAACGGGCTCTGACCGGTGCTTGCTCTTGGCTGCCACCCTGTGATGTCCCACAGCAGGACTTGGACCGGCCGAGCTAACCCTGCTTCTCTTCCTCCGCAGGCCTCCTCGCTGGGGAGGCAGAGCCCTCGCGTGGTCTCCTGCCTTGCACACAGCCTGTGCCCCGGGGAGCCTGGCTTGCAGACAACAGCAGGTACCTTCCTCCCTCCTCCCCCCACCCAGGTCGGCCAAGCCCTTTGTGGCTGTGAGAGACAGAATGCCCGCCGGGCCTGGCTGAGCTGTGACCAGCACACTGGCTTCCAGAGTCCAGGGTGTTCCAGCTCCCACACGCTCAGATGGAGCTGTGGGGAGCATGGTCAGGACTCCATCTTCCTGTTCTCTAGGAGAGGCAGGGAGCCCAAGCCACCCGAGACCATCCTCAGAGCCCGGACCCCCAGCAGAGGACCCAGGCACAGGCCTGCACCAAGCTGAGGGCCACCTCATCTTGCTGGGGTGCTGGGAAGGGGGACTTGCTGAGGGATGGGGGCTGGAGAAGGCGGGGCGGGGGAGACAGGCAGAACCTGGTTCCCTGCACCTCCCTGCGCCGATGCTGCTTGCCCGAGGGGCATCGAGGTCCCAGGCCGCCTGCTGGCCACCTGTGCTGGGCCCACAGGGCGGAGTGTGGGTGGACCAGTGTCTCAGTGACTGTTCCTTCTTCCCCTTGCTGCGCTCCCGTGGGCCAGGTGTAGGGCTGCATCTCTTCACGGCGTAAAACTCATCCACACCGCAATCTCCAAAGAAGGCACTGCCGTCCCTATTTTCCTTACATGGCTCCTCCAGAGATGCCGTGGCCACTGAGGGTCCAGGTGTACCCAGGCAGCTCCAGGTCATTCTCTCACTCTAGTGAGGCGCCTGCCACCAGGGGTGTTCCACGTCCTGCAGCTGCCTGTTCTGTGCGTGGGCTGTGCGTGGTGCGCCCTTGTGTGTCCAGCCACGCAGGCTCTGTGGCTCCCCTCCTAGAGGCTTCCTGCGCTGGACTCCTGGCCCTGGGGCCCCCAGCCTTGGGCTGTACTGCTCCTTGTCTGGATTGATTGAACCCTGGCTATTTCCTTTCGTTTGTTTTAAAGTTTGAGTAATTTGAGACTAAACATGGAGAGAAATGGTGACACACCCCAATTCTTTCGGGGAAACCCTGGGTCTGATGACAGCCGCCATCTGTTGGGCTGTGTGTGTTGCATGGTGGCTTCATGTGGCCCTGCAGGTGGAGCGTGAGGGACTGGCGTTGTCCAGGTCCCACCGGCACTGCCCCTGTATGGTCCCTGATGCTGTGCTGACTCACGCAGGTGAGGGTTCGACATCACCTGTTTCAGGAGCTATGGAGCCCGGCGTGCACCCAGCTCCATGAGTCCTGCTGCTCCCCCCGCCATAACGAGATGGGTGTCTGTCTCCTTCTAGTCTGTGCTCTCCAAATCCTCACAGACTTCCCTGTTCAGGAAGACAAGCAGTCCCTCAGAAAGACACCCCCCTTAAAAAAAAAAACAACCCTTGGACTTAGTGTGTGCAGCTCACCAGCTGTGTTCTGTGTGTTTGAGTTGTGGGGTGTCCCAGTGGGGACCCACGTGGGAGGCTGACCCTGAGGTGCAGAGGGCCTCACCCCTAGGGCTTCCCCTGCCCCAGGCGTCCACAGTCTCTGCAGGGTGGTTGGGACAGGCGGGCAAGGTGCTCACCTGGGCTGCCGTCTTCTCCCCAGCGGTGTCCATGGGCTCTGGAGACCATCAGTTCAACCTCGCGGAGATCCTGTCACAGAACTACAGCGTTGAGGGGGAGTGTGAGGAGCCTGCGAGGTGCTCAGACAAGCCCAAGGAGGAGCTGGAGAAGGACTTCATCTCCCAGGTACTTGGCTGAGGTATTGGGTGGAGCCCTCTGGGATCAGCCTCACAGTTTCTGTGCAGTCGGATTCATGTTGGCAAGTGCCAAATTGTGCATCTTTCTGCAAAGTACCAGGCACCATCCGAGGAGCTGCATTCACTGGTGACCGGGTCTTTCATGGGGCTCTCTGAGCAGCACGGTGGCCGGGCATTAAGCCAGCTTCTCTCAAACCCTCTGGTCTCAGAACCCAATTTGTACTTTTCGTAATTATTGAGCATTCCAAGGCAGCGTAGACTGGGGAAAAAAATTACTGAGCGTTTTGGCTGGGCGCGGTGGCTCACACCTTGTAATACCAACACTTTGGGAGGCCGAGGTGGACAGATCACCTGAGGTCAGGAGTTCGAAACCAGCCTGGCCCACATGGTGCAGGAAAAAAAAAAAGGAAAAAACAAACAAACGACATTTTGTCATTTTTCCTTTATTTTCTTAATGAACTTGGTTAGAAAGAAAGAAAAAAACTCTGGGCACAGTGGCTCATGACTGTAATCACAGCACTTTGGGAGGCTGAGACGGGAGGATCATCTGAGGTCAGGAGTTCCAGACCAGCCTGGCCAACATGGTAAAACCCCACTGCTACTAAAAATACAAAAATTAGCCGGGTGTGGTGGCGCACGCCTGTAGTCCCAGCTATTCAGGGGGCTGAGGCAGGAGAATCACTTGAACCTGGGAGGCGGAGGTTGTGCTGAGCTGAGCTGAGATGGTGCCACTGTGCTCCAGCTTGGGCGACAGAGAGAGACCCTGTCTCAAAAAAAAAAATTATTGAGAGGTTTAAGGAGCTTTGCTGATGTGTTTTATCTATTGCTTTTTCACTACAGTAAAAGTTAAAGTTGAGATGTAGGAATACTTATTTGCTAACTCATTTTAAAATGACATGAATAGGCTGGGTGTGGTGGCTCATGCCTGTAATTCCAGCACTTTGGGAGGCCAAGGCGGGAGAATCAGGAGGTCAGGAGTTCAAGACCAGTGTGACCACCATGGCGAAACCTCGTCTCTACTAAAAATGCAAAAAATAATTGGCCAGACATGGTGGTGCATGCCTGTAATCCCAGCTACTTGGGAGGCTGAGGCAGGAGAATTGTTTGAACCTGGGAGGCGGAGGTTGCAGTGAGCCGAGATTGTGCCATTGCACTCCAGCCTGGGTCACAGAGCGAGACGCCATCTCAAAAAATAAAAATAAAATAGCTTGAACAAGTCAGTTACGTGTTAATATAAATATTTTTTTGAAAATGAAAGAAAACCTCTGTGTTCCAAAGGAAAAAAGAATTAGTGAGAAGAATGAGTTTCTCGTTTTCCAGATCTCTGTGCATGTAGATGCATATATGAAAGTCCAGCTTCTGGTCTTTTTTTTTTTTTTTTTTTGACCAAGTCTTGCTCTGTTGCCCAGACTGGCGTGCACTGGTGTGATCTCGGCTCACTGCAACCTCCGCCTCCTGGAGTCAAGCGATTCTCCTGCCTTAGCCTCCTAAGTAGCTGGGATTACAAGTGCATGCCACCACGCCCGACTAATTTTTTTTTTTTTGTATTCTTAGTAGAGACAGGGTTTTACCATGTTGGCCAGGATGGTCTCCATCTCCTGACCTCATGATCCACCCGCCTCAGCCCCCCAAAGTGCTGGGATTACAGTCATGAGCCAGTGTGCCTGGCCTAACCTTTTGATTTTATTTTTGTAGAGGTCTTGCTGTTTTGCTAGGTCTGGTCTCAAAGTATTGATCTCAAGCAGTTTTTCTGCCTGGGCCTCCCAAAGTGCTGGTAGTGTAGGTGTGAGCCACCGTACATGACTCAAGTTCTTTCTTTCTTCTTTGTTTTGAGGCAGAGTGGGGTCCTTTTGCCCTGACTGGAGGGCAGTGGCGCATCCTCGGCTCACTGCAACCTCCACTTCCCTGATTCAGGCGATTCCCCTGCCTCAGCCTCCCGAGTAGCTGGGACTACAGGCGCCCACCACCGTGCCCAGCTAATTTTTGTGTTTTTAGTAGAGATGGAGTTTCACCATGTTGGCCAGGCTGGTCTTAAACTCCTGACCTCAAAGTGATCCTCCCACCTCGGCCTCTTATGCTTGGATTACAGGCGTGAGCCACGCCTGGCTTGCTTCTGTCTTTTAAGGGAGATGTTAGTCTGTTGTGATAAGGTCTTATGGTTGAAGTACGAATACAGCCTCATACAGATCCATTGTTGGAAAAGGAAGGCGTATTTAAGTTTTTCAGATATTGGTGGGTGTTCTTTGATGCTACAGCAAAACTCAGCCGGTGGTAGTTTTGTAAAGGGTAGTTGTGGAGTGGAGTCTGAGACCATTACCAGCGAACCTCACAGTTGCAGAGGCAGAGAAGTCCGTGCACGGGGTCCCGCAGAGTGGCTTCCGGTGCTGGCTCTCTTCCTGGCTTGTGTGTCCTCACGTGGACAGAGAACCCGAGGGAGCCCTCTGGTGTTTTTCTTAAAAGATTACTAATCCTGCTGGATCAGGGCCCCACCCTCATGGCCTCACTGGACCTGAGTTACTTCTGTAAACGCCTCGTTTCCAAATACCGTCGCGTTGGAGGTTAGGGCTGACTGTAATGGTTAATGTCACCGCCGGCCTCATCACAAGTTTTGTAAATGTTGAAATTTGGCAAGTTCATGTTGTCAAACCCAAGTCTGTCAAAGTCTTGAGTTGTACGGCTGCAGCAGTTACAGCCAGCTGTTTCCGCTGAAGTAACAGCCCCCCTTGCCTGCCTACGAGGCAGAGCCTGCGAGGCTCCTGTCTGAGCGGCTGGAGTCCGGCACTCCTCAGATGAAAGGACGGGGAGGGCCCCCTCACCTCGCCGCCCATTCCACGCGCTTCCTTCAGGGAGCCCTCACTCTGGTAGGCAGCAGCCGCTCTGCTTCCCATGCCCTTACGCAGAACATGGAGGCGCCTGCTCAGGATGAGACTTTACAGAATATGCCCGCCATCTTCTGAAGTGAAGCTGGGGAGTTTGCGTTTGGTCTGTGAGGGATGGGTACTGGTGCCCTGACCGCGGCTTCCACGGGCGCTGGGCTCTTGCCGGCTGCCGGCGCGGCACCATCAGTGTGAGTGCGAGTGAGGCCCAGCACGGAAACCATGGCTTAGTGCTCTTTGGATAGGGCTTCACCCAGGGTGCCCAGGGGCCTTGGGACCACCGTGTCAGCCCTCCCACCTGCATACTCCTGGCGGTCATGGGCATACAGAATCTGTTTGTCCCCCGGGTCCTGTGAGAACTAAGGGGGGACTTGGTATGGACATTCCACCTGCGGAAGGGCTGGGAATGGGCCGGGAGGTTCTTTGTGGACTTGAAGCCCCAGAATGAGGCTGGGCAGGAGCTGGGGTGGAGGGGAGGGTTCAGGAAGGTGGACGCTGAGTGTGACCCCCAGGGCCGCGTGGAGTCTGAGCAGGCAGATGTAACCTCAGTGGTGTAGAGGCTCACTTGAGGGGGAGCATGGGGATTTGAAAGCAGCACTGGAGAGGATGATGTGTCTTCCTTCCTGGAGTTACGTGCCCTGTTTCTACTTCTGGGCATGCTGCATTGGCTCAGTGTCAAACCGTGTTCATCGTGGCGCTTTCATTCCAGTTTGTGATGGCGAATTCTCTGGTTATTCATTTTTGACCCAGTGTGATTGACAGCTTCTCCATTATATTTATGAAGCATCCATCTGGTTGTGCAGTTTTCTTCTTCTTTTTTAATTTTTTATTTTGAGACAGAGTCTCGCTGTGTCGCCCAGGCTGCAGTGCAGTGGCGCGACCTCGGCTCACTGCAGCCTCTGCCTCCCGGGTTCAGGTGATTCTCATGCCTCATCCTCCCGAGTAGCTGAGACGACGGGAGGCACACAGCTTATTTTTAGTGGAGACAGGGTTTTGCCATGTTGCCCAGGCTGGTCTTCGACTCCTGGCCTCAAGTGATCCGCCCTCCTTGGCCTTCCAAAATGCTGGGATTACAGATGCGAGCCCCTGTGTCTGGCCTGTCTATGTAGTTTCCTGAGGGTTTTTTTTTTATTCAGGAATAAATGTCAGATTTTACCAAACGCGTCTTCAGGTTACTTTTTTCCCCTTTGATAAACTGATGTTGAGTTAAAATGGTGGCTTGCCAGGTGTTGCACCATCCTTGTATTCCTGTCATTCACCCTGTGCGAGGAGGCACTGGGCAGGGTGGTCCACTCTTCCTGGCCGGTGACCCCTGTGTTCCAGTGCCTCTCTGAGGGATTGCGAAGGGGCTCAGGCTGGGCCTGAGCTCTGGCTGGGGAGTGCTTCGTGGGGGGAGCTGCTGTGGGTGTGTCAGAGTCGCCCTGGTTGTGGCCAGCAAGGCTCAGGTGAGGGAGAGGGGACAGGAGCCCCCTGAGTAGTCCCTCCTGATGGGGCCCTGTTCCCCTCCCCAACTCAGAGCAGCGACATGCCCTTCGATGAGCTGCTTGCACTCTATGGCTACGAGGCCTCAGACCCCATCTCAGAGCGGGAGAGCGAGGGTGGCGACGTGGCCCCCAACCTCCCAGACATGACCCTGGACAAGGTGAGTGAGTGCCCTTCCTGGAACTGGCTCCCAGCAGAGGTGCGGGGACCCGGGGCTGCCTCTCAGCAGGGGGCGGTCAGTGAGAGAAGTACAGAAACCCCCAGAACAAGTAGAATGTGGCCACCTGTACCACTCCATCGGGGTTGAAATGGCCATGGGCATGAGGCTGGACCCTGGCCTTAACCCCGGGCCACATGTCCTTCTGACGTGGGCGGGTGGAGGGGCAATCGGGGCCTGTCCTGGAGAAGTGCACCTGGGAAGGCAGAGGAACCGTGACCTGGCCGCCTCCCCGGGACTGGGCTCTCTGACATTAGGTACCCAGAGGTCACTGCTCGAGGGCTGGGCATTTGGAGCAGGAGAAGGCTGCATTGCAGAAGGTCCACACCAAATGCATGGCCGAGAAAGAGCCACGCGCTCTGGGCGGTGCCCAGTGGCGGCTCTGACTGTTCCCAGCTCTGGTGGCTGGGGGTGGGCTCCCCTGCACTGTGCACCCTCGGGTGCCTCCAGCTCCTTATCTGAGTAATGGGAATAGCGCCCCACGTGTCCAGTTCCGTCCCCGCCTCCCTCCCTGCAACGCTGCCCCCTCGGCCACCTCCGTTTCCTTTTCTGCAGAATGGGTGTCGGCCCCATGTGAGCCTCAGGGAGCCCTCAGCCTCTTCACTGTTGTTACGGCTAGTGTTACCCCGAGACTGCTGAACTGTAAAACGTTCTTTACTTTTTTGTTAAAAGGAACAAATAGCGAAGGATTTGCTTTCAGGGGAAGAAGAGGAAGGGCCGCAGTCATCTGCTGACGACCTCACCCCGTCCGTGACTTCCCACGAGGCCTCCGACCTCTTCCCAAACCGGAGTGGATGTAGGTGACTCTGTTCCAATCTGCTGCTGCGCCCAGGCCCCGGGCCAGGCAGGGGTGATGCTGAAGGGTCCTGGGGCTGGTGCGGGCCACGAACTCGTCACAGATGAGGGCGTCTGCCTGGTGGGAAGCGTTGGTAGCCCAGGGGGTGCCTTGCTCTCCCCCACCCTGGCCAGTGAGCAGGGACTCTCGGAGTGATTCAGTTTAGACAAGGGACAATGTGTTGGTTCCCATAGCACAGCTGGAGACGGCACCCCCATAACCGTCCTCCCCCACAAGCCTGTGCGCCGGCTTTTCTGGGAGCTGAGGGCTCAGGCCCAGCGGTGCAGCAGCAGTGTGGAAGGGAAGGGAAGGCCTCTTTCTTCAAAGTGCATCCAGGGTCCTGGGTTCTGTGCCCATCCACATCCCGGTGTCTGGCCAGGGAGGGGGTCAGAGCCTGGGGATCAGGTGGATGGAGAGTGGGAGTGGAGGGTCTTTGCCTGGAGAAGGGGCTGTGCAGGCCACCAGCAGTGTAGACCCTGGGGGACCTGCCTCCGTTTTTCCAAAGCTCGTTTCCTGGCTGATGAAGTCAAGGAGCCTGGCTCTTCTGCCTCCTCCGACACTGAGGAGGACTCCCTTCCTGCCAACAAATGTAAGAAGGTACGTGGCTCTGCTTCTCCCCAACCTCGTATTGACCGCAGTCACCACAGCGGGGTCCTGCTGAGCCCTCTCCCTGGGTGTGTGCCCCTTCTCAGAGGAGGGACGTGGGCTGGGACCGGAGCCCTGGCTCCTGCTGCTGACCCAGAGTGTCTCTCCTCCGACATCCTATCTGGGCCTGCCAGGCCAGTGTCAGGGCACAGCCTTCCCTCACACACCCAGGTCTCTGCCTCCCATCCTCAGACCCCAGAACTGGCATCAGCAGGTCGATTGCACACATGGGTCTGGGGTCTGAATGGCGGCCCCTCCGCCCGAGCCTGCCACAGCATATGGCAGCCAGCCTCCCTCCTGTGCTGATGCTTTCTCAGTGTCATTGCACACATGGGTCTGGGGTCTGAATGGCGGCCTCTCCGCCCGAGCCTGCCACAGCACACGCAGCCAGCCTCCCTCCTGTGCTGATGCTTTCTCAGTGTCCTGATTCCCAGGCCCTTGTTTGCAGGAGATCATGGTGGGACCTCAGTTCCAAGCTGACCTCAGCAGCCTGCACTTGAACCGGCACTGTGAGAAGAGTAAGTGGGGCCTGGGGCGGGGAACTCACTTCTGCAGGGGAGTGGCCCGGTTGGATGGCAGATCGTTGGACAGTCCGAGGGGCCCAGCCTGGTCAGGTGCCCGCCCTCTGTAGCTTGCTGGGCAGCCGAGCCTGTGGCTGTAGGAAGTGGAGGCTCTCTTGAGTGCGGTGGGCCTGTCGCTGCCTGCCCCTGCCCACTCTGCCCTGCTCTGTCTGTCTCTTGGGGTCTGCTCCCATCACCCTGTGCAGGCAGACCCTCGGCAGTCCGTCCTGCCCCGCCCTTGACTCCAGCCGCCTCGCCCCAGCCGGGCCGCTGCCTTCTGCCCCGAGGTGCCTCCTCAGGAGCCCTGGGTCAGACGGGTTCTCTGGAGAGACCTGCTGGGTGTCCTGAGGCTTCCCCTGCCTAGCTCCCCTGCTCTGCAGGGCACTCCCTGTCCTGGACCTGATCTTTGTCTCTTTCCCCCTGGAGTTCAGAGCCGAGCTGCTCTGGCCCCTTCCAGGAGTGGCCTCATGTACACACTGACCTGGGTCTTGCCTAGCCCCGGAGCCTTGTAGGCCCTGGGCCCGTGCTGCTGCTCAGGAGCCTTCTCCAAGGTGATTCCGTGGCTGGGATGGACAGTGTGAGAGGAGGACGGAGGCAGGCAGGTGCAGCCAACCTGGGACATCCAGAAGGCAGGGTCGGAGGGGACACGGGACCCTCACCCAGAAAAGGCACCTGCAGTCACACTCTGGGTGGAACCCTGGCCTCGGAGCCTGTCATCAGGGCCCTTTCCCAACCCTGACTCACCCCATGAGGGTGCCCTGTCCTCGGCAGCCAGCACTGCTTCAGCCGTGGGACGCCGCCGGCCTCTCCCACTCCGTGTGACGTCTGTGCTGTTGGAGTCTGCGTGCTTGTGTCTCGTGTATTGTGCTGTGGTGCTTGGTTTGGGTGCCACGTTTGCCCACCCTTCCTGCTGTGGGCTGCTGTCACGGTTGGGCCCGTACGTGGCCGTGAACGCCCTTGTGCCTGGTACGTGGATAGAGCGCTCAGGTCTCGATGGACAGCAGGGAGTCGCACGGTAGGCGTGTGCTGGGGTTACGCATGCTGCCCGAGTTTCTCACTCGTGATTTGTGGGAGTCGCTCACATTCTCGGCGTTTGACCCCGAGGGTGAGTTTGCCTGAGTTGAGAAGGACTTGTGGCGTCCTGTGTTTCACTGGCATTCCCTGAAGAGTGTGCTCGCCATTTGGATAGTCTCTCTGCGTGCCCAAAGCTTTCCCCGTTTCTGACTTGGGTGGTCTTTCTCTGACTGGTGGAGTGACTTACGCATTCTGGAAGCGAGTCCTCTGTGGGCGCTGCGCCTGCTGCTGTGTGTTCCAGTGTGTGGCTTGCCCGTTGACTCTGGGTGGTGTCTTCAGTCAAGTCCAGCTTACCAGTCTTCATTTTAAAAGTAACGTGTTTGTGTCCTATTTAAGAGTCTTTGCTTACCTTCAGGCTCTCGAAGGTATTCTTCCGCGTTTTGTTCTAGAACCTTTATTGTTTTCCTTTCACATTTAAGGCTGTGATCCAACTTAATTTAAATCTTGGTGTATGGCGGCCAGGGCTGTGGCACACCCTGTAATCCCCGCACTTTGGGAGGCTGAGGCGGGTGGGTCAGTTGAGGGGAGTTTGAGACCAGCCTGTCCAACATGGTGAAACCCCATCTCTACTACAGATACAAAAATTAGCCAGGCGTGATGGTGCGCACCTGTAGTCCCAGATATGCGGGAGGCCGAGGCAGGAGAATTGCTTGAACCACGAGTTGGAGGTTGCAGTGAGCTGAGATTGCGCCACTGCACTCCAGCCTGGGCCACAGAGCGAGACTCCATCTCAGGAAGATAAAAAGTCAATGAATTTTGGTGTCTGGTGTTAGGTGGTGTATGAAGTGTGGGTTAGGGAACTGTTTCCCATACGGATATGCGGTTGCTCCAGCACCACACGTTGAGAAGACTGTGGCCAGGCGCGGCGACTCTGTCTCCAACAGAAAATAAAGTCCATTCTCTCCCCCGCTGAGTTGCAGCGATGCCTTTGTGATAAATCAGGTGTCTGTGAAGTGTCTCCCTTCTCTCGCCCTGAGTCATTGCCACGCTGTCGCAATCGTTACACATCACACGTAAGTCCGAGGTGGTGCAAGTCTTCCAGCTTTGTAAGTTTTCATTGTGTGTGTATGACTTTAAGAGTCAAACTTGCGTTTTTGGCACCTGAGAGGTTTTATTATTATTTGCTCATTTTAGAGACAGAGTTTTGCTCTTGTTGCCCAGGCTGCAGTGCAATGGCACAGTCTCATCTCACCGCGACCTGCACCTCCCGGGTTCAAGTCATTCTCTTGCCTCAGCCTCCGAGTAGCTGGGATTACAGGCATGCGCCACCACGCCCAGCTAATTTTTTTTATTTTTAGCGGAGTCGGTGTTTCACCATGTTAGCTAGGCCGGTCTCGAACTTCTGATCGCAAGTGATCCTCCTGCCTCGGCCTCCCAAAGTGCTGGGATTACAGGTGTGAGCCACCGCATCCAGCCCTGGCAAGTTTTAATCTTAAAACTTAGGTAGATATACAGCTTGTCAGTTGCCTCAAAAATAGTTGCTCGGGTGTTGATTAGGCTTGCATCGGATCTCTAATTCGGGGATAATGGAGACTCCACTCTCCGGGTTGTCACCTCTGCTGAGACCTTCAATCTTAGCAATGCTGTGCTTTTCAGTAGAGCATCTTTTTTCCGAAATGGAGTCTCCCTTCGCCGTCCAGGCTTGAGTGCAATGGCACGAACCCAACTCACGGCAACCTCCGGCCCCCAGGTTCAAGCAGTTCTCCTGCCTCCATCTCTGGAGAAGCTGGGATGACAGTTGCGCGCCACCATGCCTGGCTATTTTTCGTATTTTAAGTAGAGACGGTTTCACTGTGTTGGCCAGGCTTGTCTCCAACTCCTGACCTCAGGTGATTAACCTGGCTTGGCCTCCCAGAGTGCTGGGATCACAGGAGTGAGCCACTGCACCTGGCCTGCTTCTTTATTTTCTAAATTTGTGCTGGCTAGTCCAGTGCAGGTGTGAAAAGATGAACTGATGGAGGACATCTCTGTCTTGGTCTCAGACTTGGAAAAAGTGGCCAGTGTTTCCCCGTTAAAGTTGGCTGTGAGACTTCCGTGGATGCTCTGTCAGATGGAAGCTCCCCCTCTGTTCCTCGTGGCTGACAGCTTTTTTCATGAATGTGCGTTGAATTGTTTCAGATGCTCTCTCTGCATGGATTGAGACAGTCTTTTTCTCTTATTGTGCTAATGCGGTTAAGTACATAAATTGACTTTCTTTATTTTATGTATTTATTTTTTCGAGTCGGAGTTTTGCTCTGTTGCCCAGGCTAGAGTGCAAGGGCACAGTCTCAGCTCACTGCAACCTGTGCCTCGTGGGTTTAAGCGATTCTCCTGCCTCAGCCTTTGAGTAGCTGGGATTACAGTCATCTGCCACCACGCCTGGCTAATTCTGTCTTTTTTACCAAAGATGAGATGTCTCCATGTTGGCCAAGCTGGTCTCGAACTCCCAACCTCAGATGACCCTCCTGCCTCGGCCTCCCAAAGTGCTGGGATTACAGGCACGAGCCACAGTGCCCGGCTTGCCACGAGGCATCTTTAATGGTCGATGAAAGTGCTGTCTTTCCCTGGGGCAGTGATTCATGCTCTGTGAGCACCCGGGTTAATGGAAATTAACACATACGAGTTTGGTCCCTTCCTTCCTCAGTTTGATTTGCTCACGTGGATGATTTTTGCATGTATGTTCATGGAGGTACTGAGCTGCCCTTCTGTTTTTATTTATCTGAGTCTGGTCTTGGTCCCAGGCTTGTGCCGCTTTCATGAATGTATTTGGAAGTGGCCTTTTTCCTAACCTCTGGAGGAATTTGTATAAGATCATTATTTCCTTCGTGGAGTCATCTGGGCCTGGGATTTAGTTTTATTTCTGTGGAAGGTTTTGAATTATCGGTTCAATTTATTTATTTACTCAGAGACAGAGTCTGGCCTCTGTCGCCCAGGCTGGAGTGCAATGGCGCGATCTCCGCTCACCGCAGCCTCCGCCTCCTGGGTTCAAGTGCTTCTCCTGCCTCAGCCTCCCGAGTAGCTGGGATTGCACACACCCGCCACCACACCAGGCTAATTTTTGCATTTTAGGTAGAAACAAGGTTTTACCATATTGGCCAGGCTGGTCTCAAACTCTTGACTTCAGGTGATGCTCGTGCTTCGGCCTCACAAAGTGCTGGGATTGCAGGTGCGAGCCACCGGCCAGGTTCATTTTATTTGACGTACATAGTTTCTGTCTCGATGGGTTGTGTGTAGGAGGGGTTTACCGTGCTGTGCGTTTCTGACCCCGTTGGCATCAGGCTGTCAGCAGACCCTTTCGCATCCTTCCTGGCTTCATCTGTAGGGCGTCCCCTTTTTGATTCCTGATGCTGGTGATTTGCATTTCCTGCTTTTTCTTGTTCCCCCCTCAGCCTTCCTAGGAGTTTCATCAGTCGTATTACTCTTTACGAGAAACTCACTGTAGCATTGATCATGTCTCTCTATTGCTGGTTTCTGTTTTGTGTTAAACGTGCGCTCTGAATGAAGAGACCCCCAAACAGGCTTTGTGTCAGCAACATGGCTGCTGCTTTACCTGGGTGCGGGCGTGCTCAGTCTAAAGTCAGGGCAGGGCGGCAGGACGGGAGTTGGTTTTGTAGGTTTGGGGTGGACAGTGGAAAGTTGCAGAAGTTACAGTTCAGGGCGGCTTTTGCAACCTGAGGGGGGCCGAAGGGTCTGGAGTCACGAGGTTGGCCTTGGTCAGTTACAAAGTCCAGTTGCCTCATCAGCTGAGGCGGGAATAAGGAACCGCAGAAGGACATCTCAAGTTGATGAGCCCCCCGGGGGTTGATGGTTCTCCTTTTAGAGGTTTCCAGTTGCTTCACAACTCATCTGGAGTGTGCTGGTCACAGAGGTCCATGGTGCAGGCAGGCAGAGTCTTGCTCTGCTGC